CCAATAGTACTTGGATTTGTAGCCCAAAAGCTAGGCTATTCTGGATGAGAGCACGTTCTGTTCCCCACCTCTTTCCACTGAAGCTGGGTCACCCTGTAGCCAGAGCATACAGGCTTTGTAATTCTCTTCAGGAGTCTGCAGGGATTGTAATATAGAACCTCAGCGCCTCAGGCACTCTGGACTACCCTGCTGACACACACAAGTGTTTTTTATGGTTTCAGACCCTATCTTGGGCACCCAGTAACACGTGTGCCCACTTAACACCATGAATCATCTCCCTCCCACAGAGTTAAATTCCAAAGCAGTCACACTCCCAGCTGCACTTTGAGCATAGCCACTCAAAGCCACTCATAGCCACCTTGTCAAACAAGGTGAAACTAGTTTAACTTAGGGAAAATTATTGGCACATAACGTCACAAGTGCCTGTAGGTGTGAAAGTGCTCACAGTATTGGTAATAGCAATAGCTTGTGTTGAGTAACGCAGGATACACTTCCTAATCCATAGATTTTTCTTGGTTTTGCGAATTCGCAGTGTAGCATATATATAATTCTGCCATTTCTGTAAGGAACTAGCGTCAAGATTTACCTTTCACACTGGACACTGTGCATTTCAAAGTTATCCTGAGCCTGTCTAACAAAGCAGGCAAAGTTGAAGAAGAAGGGAAACAGAAAGAAAGCAAGAAAAGAGTAGAGTGGAGAGAGAAGCCCTGAGTCTTTCTACACCAGCTTCAGGCACTATCCCAGGCATGCAACAATCACCATTATCTTGCCAGGCACTGTCTCCTTTTTCATCAGTAATGGGCATTCTTTCATAACAAATGAAGTCTGAAATGGCTTTTCATTTTGTACTCATTGTGTTATCTCAGGTGAATCTAGGTATTCCTAGATTCCTAGGTTAAGGTTCCTAAGTGAATTTGTCTTCCCAGAATAAAACATTTTGAGCATAATTCACAGGAACCATTATTCACTTTTAGGATGAATTTGAAGAGTTCTATCAGTCACACTTCATGCTCAGTCAATAATAACGTACAAGCAAACTATTGCATCTAACTCATTCCCAGTCAAGTTAAAGCTTCCGGTTTTATTCACATGGAAAAGATAAAGTTCTCCCTACTTAAGAGATGTCTTAGGTGCAGAATTCTCCTCTGTGATGAAGGTCTCCTAAGGTCTTTCCACAGAAAGTAGTGAACCTTATTCTTGAAATTCCTCAAGAAATACAAACATATCAGGTCTTCTTTGAGGTACGATTTACCTCAATAGTAAGCAGCATACACTTGAGAAAATTTCTCTCTATATCTGTGGTAAGTATATTTGGTATAAATGACATTGCAAAAGTTGAAACGTACCTCATCCCCATGCATATTAGCAACATACTTGAACTCTGGAATGCCAATCTTATGACGGGTTGGAAACCTTCCCAGAACAAGAACCCAGAGGTCTCTACCTTTAGGAGGGGAAGGGGAAAAGACATTTTTTTAAACAAAGTGTAAAACGAAACAAACTTTAAAGAAAAAAAAAATATATAAAAAGATTTGGTCATCAAGACGACCACATAAATTATCACATTTCATTGCTGTCAGTCAGTCCTACATACAGCATATCAGAACAGAATATGTTTTCTTTTCTAGGAGTACTTACTAAATTAGTTATAAGAATAAATATTTGCCTTCTGACCAAAAGTCACAGTGAACCTTGCAATTTCAAATGCATTTAACCAGTCCTAGAAAACAGTTTGGGGTGGTTTTTTTGTAATAACATTTTTTCAAATGCAAGTTTATCAAGCAAGATCTTTTTGAAAAAGTCAATGAGCAACTAAAAAGTATTTAAAATAAAAGACACTCTTCCCCCTAAAACATCAGATCAGGATAAGGGTTTTCTAAAGAACATGCAGAATACTTCATTATCATAGAGAGCATCATCTTATATAATAAAGGCAAAGAAGAAAAGCTAAACACATTCAGGAACTGCTGATCAAGAAACAAAGAACCAGGCAAAGCTGTACCACAGACATTTTCCAAAGATCAACAGGGAAAGAATAACTAACTATGAAGAGCATTAGTTAGGACTGCTACAGCTGCACAGGTAGCTGAACTTCAAGCAAAAAAGGAGGGAGAGAGAATTCTATGGAAGTCCTAATTTTAAAAGGGGAAGAGGGGGGGTAATTGTTTTTAGTGATGTAGCATTTCAGGTCTCATGTGTGAAACTGATTTCTACTAGCCTGCACAATGAGGTGGACAGCTCTGGTTTCAGTAGATGACAGCAATGAAACTGGACTGATTCCCTGATAATAGCAGCCACAGCCTACAGATTGCTAATGGCCAGACCTTGCAGGCACATTGCCTGTTCCCAGGCCTCTCACACAGGTCTTGGTTAGGACTCGAGCTCTTTCAGAGGAGTCCAACTGTCATCATCATTTACAAGCAAAAAAAAAAAAAAAAAAGTAGGTGCTGCTATATGCAGTAATATAAAAATATTATTTCTTACACCTGTGTGGATCATCAGATCTGCAGCAAATAAACTCTGGCTCATAGTCATCTCCCAGAGCTGGAAGCCATGACCTTCATGGCACAGCTGCAGTGAGCCAGTCACACAGCTAGAAAGGAAAACAAGAATGAGGAGAAAAAAGTGAAGCACAGAAGAAACACTAGAAGATACACTGAAACAACTGCCAGACAGGTAAAACTGAAGTCAGTAGTTGTCAGACTAAGCTGCCCCACAACAGGTTGAATCAGAGTGGTTCAGGCTCAAGAAGCAACAAGATGGCACTGAAAGCAGACAAATTCAACAAGGAATAGTCTCAGGCTCCCCTAATTGCAAACAGTCACTCTGAAAGACATTCGCATTCAATCCTTTTGGCCACAGTTTATGTACAAAGCTAGGAGATAGAGCCACTGCCTCTTTCACTATAAAGGACAACGTGAGCAAGCAAGGTATAAATTTTAAGATAAGCTGAGAGTAAGTGCTTTGGTGAGGATGCTAGTACTTAGCCTTGTTTTATGAAAGACACTGTTCAATTTAAAAAGTTTGACTTATGTAAGCCTAGACAAGTTACAGAGTGGAGAAACCACAGATATTAGCTTTTAAAGCATATCCTTCTTCAAAATGAAAGGAAAAACAGCACCAACCTCCTTCCCCCACCCTAGCCCTTCTTCCCTTCAAAGTAGAGGGCAGGTCTGGCTGCAGTAATGTATGTTTGGAAGTGGGGGTGGTGGGCAGTGGGGGAACTACTCAAGAAAGAAACATACTACTTTTATTCAGACCACAGCCTCAGCTTAATTTCCATCTCTGTAAAGTGTTATCCTCTCTCTGGTTGTATCCAGAGACAACCTACAACAGCTATCAAGCAAATCCTTCAGCAGCATCCCTGTGAGTCTTTGTCTCTGTTTTCTCTATCCCTTCTGTACAGCTCTCCTTCCCTCTACTGCATGAGGATTTCAGACAGCTCTCCTTGGTCCTTTACTCCTCATCTCCCATACAGACTGCTGTAGTGCTAGCAACATAGCTGCTTATGAGTACAGCCTGCCCCTTCCTTGCATTTCCACCATAGCCCAAACCAAAGCTCACTACTGCCTGCCTACCATGTGCTGCTCCCCTAGCTAGGGATACATCAGACTGAGCTGCAGAGCCACAAAGATACCCAGCATCCAAAATACAGTGATCAGGTTGGTAAGATTAAGGTAGCAAAGGACATATATCGGAGATCTGATGGTGTCTCAGCTCTCTCCACTGCATGAAACTGGATACAGCTGTAAAACACATGGTTTGCTACAGGGAAGATACATGCTTTCTATGAGAATAGGCTATAAATTCATTCAGACAGGGACTGCCTGTTGTCAGAGTGAGTATCAAGTGCTTGTCTTCAGAATACCTTAAAGCCAACAGGTTAAGTGAATTACATGTCAAAAGTCCTCTTGGAACAAGTGAGAGGAGAGCTGATTAACAGCATCAGTTTCCTCAAATCCTTCGTTGTTTCCCATAAAAACACAAATCAGTGATCTACCAGGTGAGATTGCTTAGTGCAGGATCGGTACTAATGTATTTATATATGACATTACATTCCTGTATGTAATTACGTAGTATATAAAATCTCAGCAGCCCAACAATATTGTAGTCCCTAAAACATAAAACATCTTACCTCATCAGTAAGCCGATTAGCCTCTGGCTTTATTTGAATGAATTTATTTGAATGAAAAGCAGATCACAAGGGCTATTTCAAATCCAGTTACTAGCAATGACGACATCCATTACATACAAACTATTTGGAGCATCCTACAATCTCAGTGTTATTTTAACTACTTCCCCACAGCAGCACTAGCACTGATTCAGTGCCATATATCCTAGAGCAACAAGAGTCCATGTACCACTAAAAATGCCATAAGCTATGCCGCTGTCATTTAAGACTTTCTGCAAATAATTTTGTATTCTGATTTGAAATACAGACTGCTTGTGCCTTGCCATTAGCAGCACTCATTCCTTCTGCTATCGCTATAAAATTGCACTCATGGGAAACACAAGAAAGAGCTAAGTATAAACTAGCATTAACTCAGATCTAAATTGGTCTTTCCAGCATTAGTCTTTAGATTGTTTATAATTTGTATGAGGGCCATATAAATGATAAACACTCCCATGAACCAAGACATCAATTATTTCCTGGCATTTCCAGCTTCTGAGAAGTATTAAACCTACCATTAACAATTAAAATAAATTCCTGGGTTTGCTCAGCCTGCACTACTGGATTGTGTACCTATAAGGGATGATGTAAGGTTTCTTTCCGTACAGTAATTTACTACATGTAAAAAGATTCAGTAAAGTTTCCTTTAATCAGTAACGCCTAGATAACTCTTGTTTTTGTACCTGACGTGAACAGCTAAGCGTCCTCCCAAGCCTTGAATCAACTGAATGTATCCTGAGAAGCTACTTCTCACTGCCAAACCAGAACTGACTCCAGCTAATCAGTGAATTATATTTTAAGTAATCAAGACAGACTTGTGTTTGCAACTGTGTCTCAGGACACGTAATGGGACTTCAGAGTTAGTCATGGAACAGAGCCAGATCACACAGCTTCTAGCAGAGTGCCCAGATTTTTAAGTTTACTAGCGCTGCCATAGTTCATAGCAGAGTACCAGTCAGTACTCTACACAGACCTACCAAACCAGAAATTAAGCTGAAGAAATGAAACTGATCTCCAGATCTAACGGGAAAGAAATCTAGTCATCTATAGATCCTGCAGCCTGGACTACCCTCCCTGGTTTGTTTTGTTATGAAATTTACTCTTTCTAACTTTGTGCTTTACAGTTTCATTTAGAATAAACATTTTCTTATTTTGATGGGTTTTATGCCTAGGAAAGGAAGTAAGACTATTGTGCAATCACCAGACCTGCTGTGAGTACTCCTCAGACTAGCACTGCTCATTTAAGTTTGCGTGGAGGTCCACTTATGCTCAGGAGAAGCGCTACACTCACTACACTTCTCCTGTGCTGGCCATATGCTGCATGCTGACTTCATGGCTAGGAATTGCAGTAATGTCCCCCATGTTGGGGGATATCCTTACCCAGAAAGACAGAGCAGAGACAAGAGAAAGAAGGACTGGCTCTTCCATTAGAAAGCAAGATTCAAGCACTGTTTACTCTTGCTCCAGCTCTGACTGAATAGCCATTTCGATAGTCCACCAGTGGACACAGCTCACACATAACCTGTTCTGATTGTGCTTAGAAAGCTGAATTTTTAGATCCCTAAATCCAGGCCTCAGATATGAATCTACTTAGATCCACCTGTGCTGCCTATAAAAAGTGCAAAGCTAGATTATGAAAAAAACATACCAGTCATTATGCCAATAAAATAAGGACCCCAAATAATATTCTTGAGTTTTGATGTAAGCCACAACAATTTACTCCTCTTTGTATTATATAACCTCTTGTTAAATTAGAGTAAAAATAAGTTTTATCTCATGTTTGGTAACAAACTCTACAGCAGCAAATTATCAGAGTGGTTTGAGTATTACACAGAAAGATGTGGCCCCAAGCTTTAGGGAAGGCCATCTTAGTAATAATGAAAGATGACAGAAAAGTTAAATATGAAGCATAAACAACTTTAAAGCTTTATCACCATCCATCAGATTGTTATTGACTACTGATGTTTCAGCAGCCCTGACAACCTACCCTATTAGGGCTTAATTCCATTATGCACTGCACAAACTTTTCAAATATATGTCTCTGTCCCCCAAAGCTGATAGTCAAAGCAGTGCAAAATAAGCAGGTGGATAAGACAAACAAGATTTTGATTAATGAGAACATAATAGGGTGGTATGTCCTTAGGCACAGTTTGTATCAGTCATGCTCAATTCCACCTTAAGCAGAAGAGCCTCAGCCTAGATTCTATGGTGAGAACACTGACAGTAATGAAAAACATGCCAGCTAATTTTTATAACAGCTTCCACAGAAAA